CCCCTTCCTCATTTCTTCACTCATCTCTTAATTCCCAATCTCAATTCTCAATTCAAGTTAAACTATGCCTCGTACTTCTAGAGTGCGCTCATATGTTTGGGAACACTTTGAGGTGGTAGAAGAAACTGACGAAGTTCAGAAAGTAAAGTGCAATAACTGTGGTCAAGTCTTAAATCTTCGTTCAAAGTCTAGCACATGCAGTTTAAGGAGGCATATAAAGAATTGTCTTGTGCGTCCTCCGGAATTTCGTATTTAAGTTGATTTGAGACAATCTGTGCTATTTTAAAATTATTAGACGTATTTATGCTTAATGTTTTAGTTTGTTAGATTAATTTGAAGTATTATTAATTTATTATGCATGAAAATTTAGTTTTACTATTTTTTTTGTTAATTTACTTATTAAATGCAAACTTCAATTTTGTAATTTTGAAATAAATGTAGCACATACAATTTATAAATGCATTTTTTTCCCATCTTCATTGTATTCTTTATATTTTTACCTTCCTATACCATATATGAAACCTTATTACCCTCAATGTTTAAGATTTGTGTTTATTACATTTCAATACCAAATTACCATTTATATACCATAATTAATTGGCAGTTTCTTACTCCTTAATTAAAGATGTCCATATATCCCACGTTTCTCTCTCCCCTTAATTACTAAGATCTGACCAGCCCGTTTCCCCCTCCCATTTCTTTCTCTTCTCCGTTTCTATTTCTCGTTTCTTTCTTATTCTACTCTGTTTTGCTTGTTAATCCATTTTTATAAACATAAAAAAGTATACTAAATAAGTTGTTGGCTAGGTGATGAATCTCATTTTACCTAGTAATTCATGTAATAATTGCTAAAATTGTTGTAGCTAAATGAAGCTATTTTGCCAGCATAAGTTGACGGAAGCTGTGTTGATTTGATAGCTGTACACAGTACACTTGTGGGTGGTTCTTCAATTACCGGAAAAAAATATCGAAGAGTACATGGTCAGTACCACCGTCGCTGCTCCTTTTTACCATCGCTATTGGAGATTTCAGAAGGTGTGTTGCTTGTGGTAGACTTGTAGGTAGTCGTCTGATTGCCAGAAAAGTTGCCGGAGTCGGAAAAGTTCAATGTACCAATCCAATAAATGGTGACGATTTTTGTAGATGAAGAGCAAATTTTGTTGTCAATATTTTTTTCCACATAAGATTGTAGTTTAATTGTAGTATAAATGTAGTAATTTTGTAGAAATTGTAGATAAATTAGAAAAATTGTAGACTGTTTTTTGCAGAAGATTTTGTAGCTTTAGTCGTTTTGGATTTGTGAAAACAGAAAACAATGCATCTACAATCAGAATACAAATAATCTACAATTTATCTACAAGATATCTACAAACTGGATACATTAAATTTTAATATCCCAATTCCCATTTCAATTGTAGCATAATTGACATTTTCAACATAATTANNAAATTCAGTCAAAACCAAGTCTAATCTTCACCAAAACCCCTCAAAATTGAGATATAAACTCCTAAACATATTCCGAATTATTTACAACAACACCCAATCCAAACAAAATGATTTTTGAAAACCCAAATTTAAATTCAAAGCTTTCAATCTTTTTAATGGCTATCAATGGTGGAAAATATATGGAAGAACAGATTTTTTCAACTTTGAGTTGTTGAAACTCGAAAATTTGAATTGTTCGCTCTTTTTTTTTCGAGAATTTGAATTGTATTTCTGGAGAAAAATACGCAGATGAAAAATCTCCTTTCCCTTTTTAAAAATTGAATTTAATGTAGAATCAATTAACACCAAGATTCTCTCCTTAATTTTAGCGCGTTTTAAGGAAATATTCTGCCCTTTTAATGCCTAATAGTCAAATGGTATATAAATTATAGTTAAAGTGTGGACTGGGCGGGTAATTAACAAACTATGCACATTTAGAGTAATAAGGTTTCATATATGATATAGTTAGGAAAAAATCCCTTTACTTTATATTAATATAACTTACAATAGTTATACAATAGTTTTACCCGGATGAATCCGAACTCGTTAAACCAGGTATGCCCCAATCCGTAACTGGCCCGGACCATAATCCGTACGAGTACTAAATTCCCCTACCCAGCCCGGCCCGACCCACTCGTTAAACACCCATAGTTAAAATTAGAGTAGTAGTAATATATTATGTGGAAAGTAGTAATTTTAGTGTAACAATTATACTCTCTTTAGTTTATTTTATATGAAATCGTTAACAATTTCTTTAACTAAGAGCTTTTATGCAACTTCTGAATACCTTTTATTACTAAAAATTACTTTTAAAAATTAAAGAAAATTTACATCTTTGTGAACTTATCTAAACTAAAAATAGTTTTATATATATTTAAAATCAATAATTTATTTATATATTTTAAAATAACCTTAAAAGTATTATAAATCATAATTATTAATAATTTATTTGCAAAAAATGGTTAACAATTTAATTGTATGAAACAAAAAGAGTATAGGCGAGTAACGAAATCAGTTTTATAGTTAGAACTAGAGAATATATCCGCACTTCGCGCGGTCAAAAAAAAAATGAATACACAAAATTATTTTTTCATAATTTTGATTGAAATATAAGAGATTAAAAGAGTTATGTATATGAATACGAAATAAATTTTGTAAATAGACACATTATTTTATAATCATACAAACCAAAAATATAAATCTTTATATTAGAAATGCCTTCTCGAGATTAATTGCTCTTTCTAAAACATTCAAGTGCCAGTTTTCTCTATTTTTCTATACATGTCAAGCACAATAACTTATTATTTATATCAATAAGTGTTACCTAATTTCAATTTAATATTTGCAGCACATAATTGTTTTTCATTACTTGATACTTATGATGTATGGAAAGAAAATGAGGTAATTAAATGAACAATATTTTGCATTGTCATTCATCTAAATCGGACGATATATTATATTTTATGAATAAAATGATTATCACGACTTAAATGATTTTAATTTTTTTTTAAAAGTAATTATAAATAAGTGCTAATTTGGTTCTTGTATATACAATTATAGTAAAGTCGTTACTCAACCTTATTTGTGAAATGAACTTGACTTTGTTTTAAGGAAATTACTTAGAAAACTTGAAGAGCCTAACGGTATGGATTCCTAGAAAGTTATTCTTATTCAAACGATAGAGTTCGCAAATTGAACAAAGAGGGGATGATGTGACGATGAAGCTGTACGACGATATATTCTTCATACCTCTTACTTGTTGGTGTCTCCAAATGAAAATGAAAGTATTAACATCAAACCCCGCGTTCAGCTTAAAGCAATTGTTTCTACCTAGAAAATGAGGTTTTAAATTACAAATAATAAAACGTAGAACTAACATGCTAATAAGCATAAATCTATAGATTTACTGGAAAGAAAAAAAATAAAGAGAAATAAGAACAAATGACATGCTTAAGAAAAAACAGATAAAAACATACAATGGCCTGGAATTATTGCCATATTCTGATCCTCAAACACCGAATTTTATTCTCCATTATTCTTGGAACTATTGCCATATTCAGATCCTTTTCTATATTTGGGTGACATAACATATATGTATTTTATAGCCGAAAAGAAGATTCTAATTAATATATGTAGTCATATGTAGTAATTAATATATGTATAATTAACATCAAGAAAAGAAGATTCTAATTAATATATGTAGTACTAAAAAAAGGAACTAAAGTGAGGAATAGTCATATGTTTAACATTTTAGACTGTTGCTTTCTCATTCATGGTGAAATCCCAAAGCTATAAGATTCTCTTTACTATTATTTTTTTTGGTCATAAATGAGAGTGTTAGGGGTCATTAGTGGGAATATGAATAGAATTCGATCATGAATAGAATCGGTGCTTTAGTAATCTTGAAACGTTTGGAGTAATAATAGGAATTGTATCAGTTGATGAATAGGTGCCTATGAAACGTTTGGAGTAATAATTGATAAACTTGTAATTTTTACAATAGTATAATAAGGAAATATATAAAAAAAAAAAAGATAAATAGGATCCTTCGCCAGCCAAGTCACCTTTTTAATTCTTTCTTTTATATATTAATTTATTTAGATTTTTATCTACTCCATTAAAAGTACAAACACTGAGAAAGGGAAAGAAGAGAGAGAGAGGGGGGCTAGAATCGGAACAATGGCCACACGGACGAGACAAATTGCACCGCCGGCGACCGGAACGGGGACGATAACCCTAACCCAAGAAAACCAATCAGAATCCGCACCCTCGTCATCATCATCATCACAAGTACATCAACAACCAATCGAAACCCTAACATTGAAACTGAAGCCAAAGAAGAGAGTATCATGGAAATCAGGGACAGTGGACAATGAATTCCTCAACAAGAAAAGTTCCAAAAAATGTTGCATTTTCCACAAAGAAAAGCCTTTTGATGAAGACGATAGCGATGATGATGACGAAGAAAATGACCCATCTAAGAAGAGTCATCATCATGATCATGGGGATCATTGCTGTTCTAAACAGGATCATGGAGGAGAAGCAAGTACCAGTTATTCTGAACATCATTGATTTGTTTTGACTTGTAAGTTCTGTTTTTACTTTTTATTAAGAAGGAAAAAAATGTTATTTTTGGGGTAAATTGGTATTATTGGTGATTTTCTGTTCAGATTTGATGTGATTGTAATTTTAGGTTTCAATGGACATGAAATTGAAAAATTGATATTCTGTTATAGTAGTAATTTTTTTGCTTGTTAAGAAGGAAGAAGAATGTTATTTTTTGGGGCGAATTGATTATTTGGTGTGATTGGAGATGTTTTGTGTTCAAAGTTGGAATTTCGAGGGATTTGACTGGGATGTATGTTTCGATGGAAATGAAGCATTTTATATTTCTGCATTATCCTTGAATTTTGCTAAGGTTATACTGGAATAATATTGTTTTCTTTCTTATCCAAGTCAAGCTTTCTGTGTTCTCTGCTAATCGTCTCAAAATAAAAAGATGAGAAAAGGGATTCTTTTCTAAAATGGTTTTAACTTTGTATGAAACACGCATAAAGATGGAGGAGTTGTGGTTTTGATAGCCAGAGGGTTGCAGTAGGTTGATATCTGGTGTAAAGATAGTTTGAATTCGATGACTCATTTGAATACTATTCATTGGGATGTTCCTATCTAAGCATGCAGAAACATATTGAGTGTAACTGATACAATGGATTCATATAGCTGACCCCTACTAATATAGGATTGAGGTTAGCTGATTGATCGATATGTGGGGGGGGGGG